TCCCCTCCCCTCCCCTCCCCTCCCCTCCCCTCTCTCCCTCTTCTCTTCTCCAGAGGAGAAAACAATGGCAGTAAAACTGGAATGGCACATTGAATCATGATAAAGATGTTTTGTCACACCTGTTTGTGGCAATGTCTAATAGATCATGCACAAGTTTTTGATTGGTAGCACCTTGCAAAAAACCAAAAGGAATTTAAGAGCTTTGTAACTCACCTCCAATGGAGACTCGTGGAAGATTATTAGAGAACTTATAAATACAAAACTGGCAATATCCTCGAATGAGTACAAGAACAAATTCACTGCAGCTGACAGAGAACAATAAAAAGAAAGAAAATTTAAGCAAAAGTTAAGCTCAAGACAAGCACACAGACAGGGAAAAGCATCAAGTGTCTCTGTTTACTTGACTGGGCTGACCCATTTTTGACCAGTGCTCTTCATGTCACTAACACAACAGGATTCACAATCATTTTTGGCAAAGAGCAAAACTACAAAGAACTCCAAATCCCAAACCTGAACAGAAGAAAAGAAGTCATTTGCCTGCAGGTATTTTGACAGCAGTAACAAATAGTGGATTCAATGTTCTGAGGAGTCCTCTTAGAACTGATCTTGCTGGGTAGGGGTACACTCAAAGCTGAGAGGGCAAGCACTGCAGATATGTGTGAAAAGGAGGCATAGAAAAACCATCACAGCAAAACAAAAAAGTGATCTTTTCATGTTTACATCTGGTCTCTGCATAAAACAATTCCCTCCTTCCCCAGGAATGAACACTCAAAAGCAACTTAAACATTTGTGTGATGAATAATGAGAATAGTTTGCTTTATACCTGTTTCAAGCAGACTATGAGAACTGTTCAAACTACTACCCAGTGGACCTCTGTTCTCAAAAACTGGGAAGGTTCTATAGTTCCACAGCTGCTTTCTCAATGTATTCCACTATATGAACCAAGAGAGTATTCAGAATGCCAAATACAGGCTGAAGACTTTATCCCCAATAGTTCTTCTTGATCTCCAGCTCCCCTGTAATTGTAAAAGTGATCACAGGACAACACTGACACACACAAAATAGCAATATGATGTTCTCTGGAATTTCAGGATTGACATTTCAGTGACACTGGGCCAAGTTTGACCAGATTCTCTTTGTACATTGGGAAATCCATGCAAAACAATATTTTCCCATGTCACTGTTTCTCACTGATGAGCTTGGAACTCATGAAAAATTACCTCATGAAAAATTCACTAATGAAAACTGCAGTTTCATTAGAGGCATTCAGGAAAAACAATCCAGGCAAGTCTGTATGCAAGAACAAATAATTTGAACAAGGCAGTCAAATTAAAACAAGCTCTTCCACTTTTTAAAAAGCTAAGTAACAGATCCACTACTTAGAATAAACTCAATAGAATGAGATCAGCAGAAATACGTTCTCCTAGAGGTAAACCTCACTCAACCATTTCTAGCTACCATTCTCCTCAGGAATATGCTCTCAGGTACACATGCATTGCATACAGCTTTAAAAGAAAATACCATCCTTGAATTTGTATTACCACACAACACAAAGTTTGAGTTCCTGGAAAATGTATACAGCTTCACTGTTTTCATCCTATTCATTCTGTTTTTCAGAAATCTCTCATCCCTGAGCCATGTGCTGCATTATCCATGTACCCAAAAACTCAGAGAAAGAACTTCTGTTCTATTCTGAGCTAATAGCCAAGACTGTACTGATTTCAATTGTTAAATCAATGCTCCTGCTGCCCAAAGAGAAAATGTATTAAAATGTGTCTGAAATTACAAATCACAACGGCATTTTTAAGGTAAACTTATAACTGTCTTCCTCTTCTTCTAGGGTGCTTTGAATGTAAAGATTAATCTATATCTTCCATTTTTGTTTTCATTATATAGCAGCTTTTTACAGATTTCTGACATACATTTTTAACTGATATGCCAATCTAGCTTTCAAATTCATATAGAAAACAAACAAATATGTCCCAAACTTTGGTGGTTTGTTTTTTTTGGTTTTTTTTTAGTTTTAATGAGTTTTCAGTGCTTAGTATTAACATTGTTAATATGAAAATAAATTATTTTCATTCATTCATTTAATTCTTCAACTTGGATAATAATTTATTGCAGATTATCATGTATATCTTATTATGTTTTGGGCTTCTTATCTACACTTTCTCCCATCACCTTTAAAATACACAAATAAACAAACTAAACAGTAAGTAGTAAACATAAAACCAGAGTTTACCAGAGATATACAAGAAATAGTCCCCTTCATCTCTTCCCTACATATAAAATTCAGCAAGTATGCTCTTGCAGTTCAGGGCTCAAAGCAGATTTCTCCATGATAGCCATTCCCTTCAAGGTCCAAACATTTTATTCTTCCTTTGGTCACCTCAGTAAATCCCAGATACCAGCAATCCTTCATATGACTAAGATGGCAAGAAGAGATAAAGAATGGAAGACTGCACTGATGTTTTAAATTTATATCAGAATGAAGCATTGACCAAAAGACCTCCCATTTTGGTTTTTTTTTGGTGTTTTGTTTCTGGTGGTTTTTCTTTGTAATGTCATTCAATTCTCTGTTTTTGAAATAAAGAAAAAGCCCCTCTGTTTGCTATAAATTAATTCAATTTGTCATTTATTCAAATCAACAAGCAGAATTATATTTACTCCTTCACCAATTTAAAACACAACCAGGCTTAAATAGATGTATCACCATTTGGGAATCTCTGGGGAGTTTTTTTCCCTACAATAAGAATCTGATGCCATTCTCAAAGTGAAGCTGGCTTTTCCTTAAAAAAAAAAAGTTGCACTTAAAGATCTTAAAGGTCTTTTCCAACATTAATGATTCTATGATTCTATGGTTCTATGATTAACATAAGCCAATGCTATTTATATGAGCTAATTATAAAGTCTGACCTTCAGACTTCTATTTGGCTGTAGTATTCGCTATACAACACTGTCAGTACATAGAAGAGAAGCAGAAGATATATGCAACTCTCTTGGTAATGTGTAATTAGCCAGGAACACCAGGAGAGGCTGGAAATTTTACTGGAGCTGAGGGAAAGAGCCTTATTCTTTTAGACAATCTCACTGGGCTTGCAAAACACTGCTGTACATTTATTGCAAAACTAAGAATAAAACCTCCAGTAGTTCTGGTACAACAAACTGATCAACATGGACATCAATAATGCACAATCTTCCCAAGGTCCATGGGGCTTTGGGTGAGCAGAAGCTGTGACTGCACCACTTGGGGAGGAAGACTCTGTTTGTACAGCATGCACCCATAATTATGGTTTGAGGTTAAGGATGCCTTGCCTTCTGACGTTCTCCTCCCAGCAAATCTGAAATGTATACAATAGCTGACATGCCCTGTAGCAAAGTAAAGCTAAATCAGTGGCTAAAGCAGGGCAAAACATTACAATATTGTTTAGTGTATTTCAGTACAAGCTGCTTTGGTTTCTTTTGTGACATAACTTATTATAAATAAAATAGTTGAGCACCATACTAAAGAACAGCAGAGGGGAAAAAAAAGGAAAACCACAAACACCAAAAGCAAAAATCCCCATCAGTAAACCTTTCACTAAGAAGAACTTGATCAAAACCCAAAAGCTCACACTATCCTTACAGCTCCTCTACCTGCCCATTCCCCATGCTGCTGACTGATAGCGCTTCCAGCAGTTCATTAGCATAACATGGAGTTAATCAATGCTGCTTCAGAAGGAAAATGCCACCTAATGAATCCCCAGTGCCACTTTGCTGTGCACCAGGTGTTTTTGCTGCAGGTGTACCAGGCTGGAACAGATCAAGACTACCTGTTTAATTTGTGGAGTCCGACATGCCCCAAGCTGTGCGGTGTTAGGAATGATGAATTCAGGTGCAGTAATGAACCATGTACTCTCCTTCTTTGAAGACATTCTGATGCTAAGCTAGACTTTAAGACTACTAATATGTGAATGACACTCCAAGTAGTTCTACTTTCAAATTTGTTACTACAGAAAACTAATAAACTTGAAAATCTACTTCTAGATTATTATCCTTGTATCTCCTAGTGTATGGTTATGGTATGGACATTCACATTACAGGCAGATTTATTTCTGAACACAGCATTACAGCCTGACACTTTATGGAGCAAGGCTTAGAGGTATATCTCAGTTAAAGCACAGCAAATTTGCAGAAAAAATCAGTTTCAATTACAGCAGAGAAAAAAAAAAAGAAAAAGAGAAATAGAAAAACACCTTGTAAAATCTCTAATGAACTTCATATATTTTTCTGATTTTTTTTGCTGATTTTAATGTCAAGATTTCTCAGCCTTCCTCAAATCCAGGGACTTATCCCCTGCTGGAACAATAGTTACAAAGAGCTAAGGAGCATGTGGTTGATTATGTGTAATGCTGGGCACACCTGGAGGGTGGTGAAGGCTGACTACACACCAACAAAGGCACATGCCTTGCATCCTCAGAGGACCTGACCAAATTCTTCACTGATGCAAAGCAAATGAGTTGTAGGGAAGTCTGCAGCAAATCTATGTCATTGATTAGGATGTTCTTAAAAAAATGAATTTAAGTCAGAGTAGAAAGACCTTCTTTTGGCTTGCTACTTCCAAGTGCTGTCTTTATATTTAAAAGGCTTAGTTTATGGCTTTGCAAGCTTAAAACATAATCTTAAAATAAAAGTGTTAAGGTCAGAAACAGCTGTTTTTAACAGTGTTAAACTACAAGAGCAGCACTACACTAAAACTTTGGAAGAAGAGAGTGAGAAGCCATATTTTAGCATTCTTTTAAACAGCAATTCTCTTCTATTTTCACTGTCACTCAAACATAGCACCTCTAGTAAATTGGGAGGCAGAACAACATCTCTATTACAGTATAGTTACATCAAATATACAACCGTATTATAGCATTGTGCTATTGCTTCTCTCAAGCCGTTTAAGGAACAAATCCATTATTCAGCCAGCTTTATTGTGATCATTGTTTCCTCAACATAAATATTCACTGCTTAAAATTCAAGGTAACATTTCAATTCCCTATTTGGGAGGCCTCAGAAATCTATTTTAAATGTCATTGAGACAGTCACACTGTTTTGTAGGTTCTCAGCATTTTGTTCCTTTTAGTCTTACTCATTTTCTATTCCTTCTGTAGAAGGCTACATACTGATTTGTTTCTTTCACCTTATTGTGGAGCTTTCTCTCTTCCCTTCTAGGACCTCTCTCAATAGAGAAACCAGCATGATTTCAGAATTTCTGCTGAATTTTCTTCCACTCTCATTTTCTATTTAACATAACAAGGCATAACTTTGGAAGAAAACAAGTAACCGAGCCCAGATGAAGAGTTAGTGCAGCAATAGTTCATGAAACAATTACATCTACTGCTATAAATGCAATATATTTTCCTGCTTGAGAGAGGAATTTTTCTCTGAAGTAAATGTTATTATGATTTAAATTAAATTTAAAAACCCAATAAAACCAAATCTGTATAATAGTTAGCAAATGTGTAATGAAACCTCATGACGGAGTTCTAGATACCTCATATTCTTGTGAATGACAGATGGTTACACTAGGTTTAAAAAAAAAAAGTAGATAAAAGCTTTCCACAAAGATAGATGACATCAGGCAAAAGCTTATATTAGGTATAACCTAGAGAAATTTAACTTAAACAAGGAGAGCTTAATGATACCCCAACAAAAAAAAAGCTACAGTACATCATGAGAAGGAACTAGGAAAACCATGTGAAGAAAATAAAGATGTCTGTCACATATGAGTAAAAAAAAAGTTGTTTACAAAACAGTTACGTGACTAATTAGGGAAGAGTTAAGGTCAAAAAATTTCAAAGCCCTGGACCTGAATCTCTTGGCACCCAGCCAGCATTTCAGACAACAGAAAGGAAGCTCCTGTTATTGCTTTAATGGTAAACAGTGTTCCAGATAACTAGAAAACTTGGCAGCCTGATATAAACCAGAGATAAATCCAACACAGGAGGAATATAAATATAAAAAATTAACACACTTTTAAGGAGTGATATGATAATTAATGCTGATCAGCATGAACAAGTGGAATGTAGTCTTAGGAAGGGAAAATGGGTAACTTTTGGTGAGATTACAAGACTTATTGGTTTGTTGTTTTTTCTTGGTTTATAGAATACTGATGTAATTCTGTCAGATTCTGAGACATTTAATTTGTCACTTCATATGTTCAGTAGTACAACAGAATATTGGAACTCTATTTCACAGGTTAGGTAGATTTCAAACAGGTAATCACTGAGGTTTCATACATAACTAACAGAGAATAGATAATCCATTGATTTGTACAGCCCTTCTCTAAACATTATTTGCAAATAACTTGGAGTGGGGGGATGTCTAAGCCAAAACTTTTCTCAAATAATATAAAGACTGAGAGGAATCTGGAAAGTTATATTTTAATTACTGAACAATTTTAACATTGATACCCTGATAAATCTCCTTAAAAAGCCCAATTGTAGTCTTCCTCTGTATCAGTTATAAGTGAAAAAAATCCCAAACCCAATATTATTGATTTTCATTTCAATTCCCCAAGCTAAAGAGTTCTTGTGTATTTGATCATTTCTCATGTGAGCCTTCTCTTCAACTTTAACTTTTTTTTAAATTTTATAATTTTTTTTATATAAAAACAGAAATAAGAGATACCTGGAAAGTTTGCAAAGACAATTTTCTTGAAATCAAAACAAAATAAAAAAATACATAATGGTGTTTTTTAATGAAGATTTTAAGAAGTGGAATTAAAGAGGTTTTTCTAAATGTGCATATTAATGTGAGAATTCTTGGAAGATGTCAATTAGACATGCAGAGAACACCTCTGGTCTTTCTTCCATTGGTGGCCACATGAAAAACTCAAAGATTAGGTTCTTATAAAGTAATTTAGAGGAGAAAAAAAAAAACAAACTAATAAATCTTATTCTGAAGGAAGTGGAAAGGGAAGAGAAGAAGACTATTCAAGATTCAGACCTCACATCAGCCTCCTCATGCCTGTGGGCTGGTTCCTGGGGGGACTGAGCCGTGCAAGGTGGGAGCAGGAGACCAAAGGGGCAGACACTGAAACAGGAGAGGTTCAGACAAGAAGAGGAGAAGCTTTTCCTCCAAGCAGGATAGGTGGGCCATGCTCCAGGCTGCCCAGAGAGATTGTGCAATCTCAGTGCTCAGAGCTTTAAAACTCAGCCAGCAAAGGTCCTCAACAACCTTGTCTGACTTTGCACTCTCCTTGTTTTGAGCAAGAATTTGCTCTCAAGCTCTCTCAAGGCCTCAAACCACAGGATCTCTCAGGTTCAAACCCGACTTGTTCTCTGACACAACAAAAATATGACAAGAAACTTAGAAACAAACAAAACAAACAAAACTCAGATGCTCTATGAGTTTTCTGTGAAAAGTGAGAACACAGTCAGAAACAATACAATCGGACAATGGTGAAAATTATCAAGTTAGCAAGCAGAATATTTTGCTTGCATAACCTAGCAGCCTTAAAATTGCCACAGATCAGTGATAATCAAGAAATTGATTTTTAGTTCTGTGGGAACAGACGAACATTGAGAACAGTCTGTTTCAAAAGCAGAACACCAAAAGAGCCCTTCCCCCGACACTGCCTGTGAAATGAATTTTAAGGAAGAGGGAGAATACCAGACGATCAAAAACCGTTTTTTTTTACATAAACTTTTCATTTTGACATACATGCATATTTAATATAATACAGAAATCTGCCTGTGATGCTTATTTTTAAAATGTCATTGAAGCTGACGTGAGGCTTATTTTGTCCTCTTTTCCACAGAGAAATTCTCGCTAGGATGGAAAGATTCACACTGAACAAATGTGGACCATGCCTCGGAGAGCTCTGCAAGCTCTGCAGCAGCTGCAGTGGGAGGCAGGCACTCAAAGGTAGGTGCCCCATGCAAGAAAGTGGAGCAGAAAACACCAAACATCCAGGAAGCCACAGCAGAAACACCACAACTGTAACTAAAACACACAATTCCCTTTTCCCTCAAGCTCCAGTGGAGCCGGCGAGGCAAACCTCAGTGTAAATAGTGGCTGGCAGGCTGTGTGGTCCCAACCCCGCTGGTGTTGGAGATCCAGGCTATAACACACACCAGCTCGTGCTGCTCTGCTCCTGGCGTGTGGCAGCAGCGATGAGCCGAGGGGCTGCACAGCCAGCAGGGCACCAGGGACGTGTCACTGCTCTTTACACAGGCATCTCTGAACACATCCTGCATGTTTCACTAGGAGGACAAAAGTGTAATGTATTGATCTAACACAGGCTCTTCTGGAACTGAGAAGGTTAGGCAATGTTGTTTTCCTACATTTTTTAGTAGCATTTAATTTGCCATGTTTTCTAAGGCCAACCTGTGTTCTTTTGAGAACTTTGAAATTTTATCCCTAACATTTACATTCAAAGGAACGTATCCCTATTTACATTCAAAGAAAATTTAGTGCCAATAAATTCCCAAAGTGTGGGAATCCAGAGTTTCCCTCTGGCTGCCCTGGAAGGTCTGGGACCCTGGCAGGGGGTCAGGAACCCCCCTGGACAGAGCCCCCAGAGACACTGTCTGTGATCTCTGTCCATGGAAAAGAGTTTTCAGTCTTACAGGATGAATTACAAGCTCTGAGTGTTTGATAGAAGTAATAATTAAGTGTGGCACGGGTGCAAAAGTAAAATTTTAGGATTCTAGATGAGGGGTCCAAAGGGGACAAGATGGAGGAAATTGGGTGTGCCTTGTCCTTTTTCTCCTTCTTCATGCCCTCCAGGTTTCACTGTGGTGTTGGCATTTTTCTGTTGGTTTAGGCTGGGGGGACACTGTCCAACGTAGGTGACAGATATTGGCACGTTATTGTAAATCCAGCCCAGGGAGTTTCTGGTATTTAATGTTTGTAACATCCCACTGAGGGCAGAGCCCCACACGCTGCCCTGCAAGACAGAGCTGAGCAGGGCAGCAGAACATGTGAGAGATAAACAGAATAAACAACCTTGAAACCAGCACAGACCAATTATGGCTTCTGCTTTGGCAGCGGGGCTGAAAGACAGAGACTTTCTACAATCTCAGAATCATCAATACCACAGACCCTGACACCAAAGTGCTCTGGTAATCCATTTATAAAAGACAATTTCTTTAGAATTTTTCTTTACCTTCACCTTCTATTACCATCTTTTTTCCCACCTTACCTACATATATGTCAAAACAGATTCTCCTAAGGAAAATAAAATCAGGATAAAGACAGATTACTTGTTATCAAAGTTACATAGAGGAAAATAAGTTACTTAGTATTTATCACCAAGAAAAATAACCTGTTTATCACCAGTCCAAATTACCCATGCCCTGAGAATCTAACAGCAGAACAAATGGAGCAACCAGATAAGCTGGAATCCCAGTGCTGGTAGATGGAAGGAATTAAAATAAAACTCAAAATAATGAATTTCTGATGTAGAGAGCAACAAATAAGAGGAAAAGAGCAGAATTATGTCTCCAAGACCCAAACAGAGTTTCTATTATCAATGTCATTGTCACACAGCTCCAATTAGGTGACTTTTTAGCTTTTGTATACCTAAATAATACCAAACAAAAAAATAGAAGAGTGACCAGTTTTCAGATCAGTGGCAGGCATTTCTGAATTTGTATTATTCTCCAAGTCCTTGTTCTCAAACAAAATAAGTTCTCATTTAAATAAAATTAAAGGAATATGTAACTTCCACCTCCCCCCCCCAAAAAAAAAGCAAACTAAAATGGTGGAGGGATATGACACACACACAAGAGTTTGATAAAAATGAAAGTTTCTTTAAAAGGCAGGTTTGAATTGTCCTAGATATAAATTTTGTCTTATAATCATCTAAGCCTGGAATAAAATACTTCTGAAATACTTCTCTTAACATTTTTGACACTTGCAATATGAAAACAGAAAGTAAATGACCTAGAAGTCAGCAATGGTATGCTTCCTCCTTTAAACTCATCATTACTTTATCACTTAAGATCACATTGCTTTTAGCTCCTTAATTTTTATCACTAACCTTAAAAGAAGAAGAAGTTCAAACATCAACTTTGAAAATTTTATTCTTAGTTGCAAGAAACTTGGGATATGAAGTTTAAGGCCAAAGTTTCAACTGTAAGGAGATTTCAATAATAAGAAGAATGTTTCATTGCTAATGGACAAAAACTCTGTAAGACTGTTGGACACCTAATAGCTTCTTTGGGTATTTTTTCTGGGGGAAGAGGAGATATTTGGGTGGGGTTTTTTTTGATTTTTCATTGTTGTTAAGCCTAAAAGTAGAAGTTACTCATCAAGAAGCCTTATCAAGGAGAACATTTCAGCCACAAGTGAAATTAATTATGCAGCAGTGCTGGTAGAGCAAGGTTCCATTTAAAGTAATTATAACCCCAGTTAGAAATCAAAGAGAATTAATGTCAGGATTTTATTTGTATCAGGTAACTTTTGTAAAGGTTATTATTATTTTAGGTTTTAATTTGTAGGGCAGAATTTCATCCCATTTGTACAATATTTATATGTAAAAAACCCCATAAACAACAACAACAAAAAAAAAATCCCTACACCTATGCAAATGAAACATAAAGAGAAACCTGTTCCTATTTTTGTTCTCAACCTTTTTGATTACTCCCCACCTCCTACAGAACTCAGTATAAAATGCTTAGAGAGAAGACCTATGAGGCTCTTAAATCACTCCATCCTCTCAAAGATTCACCAAATCTATTTAGTCAGTCAATGTGATTATTGCAATCCTTCCATGCCCTACTGGTGCACCTACTGCAACAAAAGGGGTTCTGCAGCACTACAGATACAGAAGTCTTAAATAGGATTACTTATTTCTGCCAAGCTAACCCTTCTTCCAATTAATCTTCTCCCATTTTTTTTCCTACTCTGACATTTTGCTACCTGTAACCACCTGTTTCATAATTTCAGTAGCTAGCAGTTTTTAATGTCTTAAAAAAATATTACTTTCACATACAGATCAACAGTCAAATTCAACCAGCATACTTATTTATCTTGAAGAACTGCCAGACACTGCTTAAACTCACTTTATAATCTGAATTTTCTTGCCAGAGAGCAAGCAGGGAACACAGGTAATGGATGTACCTTTAGTTGGTAAGATTAGTTGTTCATAAAACCACACAATGTTGTGTACTTTCAAATTACCTCCTTTTGGTATTTAGGATAGAGATAATAGTGAGCTAAAAGATAATGCCTGTGTCATAGTGTTAATAGAGGTAATTGTTAGCTGATTTTTGGTTGTGTGCCTGAGCTTCTTCAGTTCTGCTCAAAGGTGTCAAGGGATATTTGCTGTTGCACATTGGATAAATTTGATTACTTAGTAATGTTTTTTTTAATTGTGCTTTGTTCTTTCTGTACGTTATTTTTCCATAAATAAGTATTAGACATTCTGTACGTGAAGTCTTGTGTTAATCTAGATTAGATCTCAGTCCAAAACCCAAAACAAGCAATTTTGGTTTAGTGTTGTCCATCCCCGTATATCTAACAACATGGTAATGTAAATGTAAAAGCTTATTAAGTGTGGCTACAATTAAATAAAACCTTTCCCATCCTAATTTTAAGCAGTTTATAATTCTACCAGACAAGCTATTTAATCTGTCTGTTTTGGTGGTTGTATTAGAATTTTGTTTACTGGGGAAGTTCAACTAAAATATGCTCCTCTATCCAAGAGCGAGTGACAATATAAAAAAAATATCTTATGCATTTTAAACTATATAAATCTGTTGCCTCCTGTATCCTTCAGAATTTTCAGCTTGGAATAGTAACTGATTTCAAATAGGAACTTAATTTTTGCTAGGGTTGGAAAAGAAGTCGGCATTGTTGTTACCAAACAGATGTGCATTTACAATTATTTTTATTGTTCAGATAGCTTTATTGAATTTTAACCTGTGATTAATTTATATTGGGTGACCTGTTTATTTTGACAGGAATTTCACTTTAGCATCTTTAAATGAGGCAGCTCCACTGACAAGATCCAGCTCATGTGAAAGAAATCTAATAGATGATACAAAATAGCAAGTGGAGCTACAGGCACCACAAAGGTCTAAAAAGTGGAAGGAAAAAAACCTACTATAATATGCTGTAGAGATGAAGTATGTTAGAACCTCAGTATTTCAGCACATACTTCAAAGGCTACTGTCTCAGAGTAATACAGAGCTGTTTTCCTCATACTGTAAGAGTACAGAATTAATTTATTTTGAAACTTTGATGTCTTGTTTTAAGCTGAGAAACCAGACATTTCTATTTTATTATTTTTAATCTCTCATTCATACTCAAAATCTTATTCACCAATTGATACAACAATTCAGCATTGTTTTAAATAACATGCCATCTTCCTTGTCTTTAATCTGCTGCCTATATCTTTCACAGACTCTTCTTTCTCTAATATAATATGTTTTTTTCCTCCTCAGGAACAAATGTATTGGAGTGTAGCAGCAGGCTGTGAAAACAGTCAACTTCCACAACCAGATAAATTATAAATTTCTTTTAAAACAGAGATATGTTTGGTTTTGGTTTTCTTTTTGGTTTTTTTTCAAAAAACAGAGCTATGGACTACTTGCATTTATTGTGAGAATGATTCTTATATTGACAGAGACAAGATATAATGTCACATAGACAATATAACTTTGATATTGTATTCAATGATTCCTTTCAGATTCTTAAAAAAAAGAATTCTACTACCTAGTTCCCATATTTAGTAAACAACCAATCAACAGGTAAATTTACTACTGTATATGGTACCAAAATAGTGATAGAATAATTAGAATAATGCCTTAAATTTTTGGGTTTGGTTTTTGTTTTTTTCTTTTAGATTTTAGAACATATAATCAGACAGTTATCTTTTACTTCTGGCAATATGGCCCAAGGAGTGGAAAACCAAGGAACACAGTGACAGATAAACAGACTGTCCCATGCTGAGAAAGGAAACGAGTGACAATCTGCTGGGAAAAAACCAAAACACAAACTCCCCACAAGCCTGTGTTATTCCAAGGTAAACCAGGGTTCCAAGGGACTTGCCATTGCGAATATGTGCTCTGCTCAGCCTTAAATATTGCATTTACTTTTTTCCTGTCTTTGAACTTCATTAAGACACACCATGGTTTATTTCCTATTTTGTGAAGTCAGACTTATCAATTGCTCCAGAATTCTACATATTCTGCTAGAAAGCTACAAGATCAGTGTAAGGCTAAGTTCCTTCCACACATTTTATTTTGGCAAGATTCCAAAAAGAACCCTTCCACTACCTCTAAGGATTGTCAGAAAGCAGTGTAGGTGATGTGCTGCAATCCATGGCTCTCATGCTTGAAATTGGTTTAATACAGATGCTCTTAAACTTCATTTTGATGCTTCAACTTGTTCAGTCTGCTTTTTGAGCAACCTAACACTTTCTAGACATTATAAAAGATATAGTCTTGGTCAAACAGCTATTTAAATAGTCTGCAAAATAAATCCATTCTTGTCTAAAGCAGAATAGTTGGCAGTTCTGACAGAAGAAATAGACATTAAAAAGAAGACAGGAGTGAATTGGGTCCCTTAATTTCTCAGACAGACTAGTTACATATTGAATTGTTATTACAAGCATTACAGCATTGCCCTTTTCTATCAGATATGCTAAGAAACAAAATTTCCTTTAAGGCAGAGAGGGTGGTCAAATTAAATATATATTTTATTTTCTTTCCTGGAAAAATATTTTGGATCTGTTTGAGGGGTAGCTTGATTGTTTTTGTTGGTTTTTGTTGATTTGTGTCCGGGATTTTTTTCTGTTCATCAATTCAATCAAAAAAACAAGTTATTTTCAAAGCCCTATAAAAGTATCCCAAAATAATTGCACAGAAAAAAAAATCAAACCACCAAACCCAAGATTAGAAGTTATAAATTAAAATAAACCCTTAAATCAAGACATATTCTTTTCTTCAGGAATGGTATAGGTGACCACACTTTTGTACTACAACTTCTCAACTGCATCAGTTTATTCTGAAGTATTAGAAAATGGGAGACTACTCTTAAAGGTGTAAGATTCAACATGGAAATATTTCTTAAAGAAACCCTGATCTTTTAGAAATTGGAAATAGGTCTCAGCTACTCTTGGTTAAGTCAGTTGACAATTTAGATAATGAAAAGTATAACAAGGTGGATTTGATATTCCTGGGAGAACCACATCCAGCCATTTCAGATAAGAAAATAAAAGCAGGAAAGCACAAAACAATTTAATTCAGTTTGAAGGGAAATCACCCTTCAGAGGTGCAGGGATCACCCTGCAGAGATCACCTATTTTACAGATATATAGAAAGATGATGAAACATTGTGGAAAAGATACTATGCTTTTAAATCCTGGGTTTTCTATATATCTTTGTCACCTAATCTGAGATAAGTGATGTTTTCCAACAGTCACTAGGAATCAGCAAGATGCTACTTTTTCTGAGTTATTTCAGGCTTTCAAGGATGCAGGAGCAGATATGGAGGGCTAAGGAATTTTCTGGATCCAGAGGAATGGAAGTCTAGATGCACTGATAGACAGATGTGACTTGTTTTCTTTTTTCACTAGCGGGTTTGTGGAGTGAAACAGCTGGTGCTTGCACTGCCAGGGAAGAGGCTTCAAGGGAGTTTTATTTCCAAGTGCCTCATTGCCAGGACACTCAGCTGGAGCTGCTCTCCCTGCACGCCCGGAGCTCGTCGCCTGGCGCACTGAAATCGGACAGGGGCCACAGGACAGCGTGGGACAGCAAGGGACATCTGCTTCCAAAAGTGCATGGCTGATCCCTGCAAGCAGGCACGGGAGACACAGAGTGGGCAAGGTTTGTCTGAGGTAAAAGACTGACTCCTTAGGGCTGCAAGGGCTCTGCTGAAATGAGTTACTTGCACATCCAAGGAAAATGTAAACAGAGAAGGTACTTTGTGTCAAAGTCACTCAGATTCCAGAATTCCTTCCTACAGATTCCTATAGATTTATATGCATTCAAGGAGACAATGAACACGTTAATGAGAAATCCAATGCATTTCTAAATACAGAGAAATGTAGGTCAAGAAGTACTCTGTGAACTGGAAATGGCAGGGCTGGAGGGACAGAACAGATCACTCCTTGGCTAGACCTGGAAT